TTTCCCTACCAAGAACAGTTCAAACTTAAACTTTAATACTTCGTTATAGCTTGTCTTCAACTTTGAAATGTATAGTAAGGTAAACTTTTTAAATACGTTACAGGTTACAAGGGCACAGAAGCAATGTCGGTATGCACTAAAGGATGTTGACTTTTGACTGACATAGTGCTCTCAACAGTAAAAAGATTTGATCATTATGGTTTCCTTCTCTCTATTTAATGGGCTACTTATGGATCTGTGTTTGTTCTTTTCTTCAGATATTAGGATTAAAGAAGAGGAGCCTGATCCGGAAGAGTGGCAGCTCAGTGGTGATTCTACACTGAATACCAATGATCTAACACATTTGAGAGTACAGGTGGTAGATGAGGAAGGGGACCAACCACAAAAAAAAGAGACTGCGACGAGTAGCTTGCACGTGTCCCAACTGCAAAGAAGGTGGTGGAAGGTGTGTAATGTTCAGTGTCATATAATGCATGTAATGATGAAAACAAATAATGAGTGAGGAAAAAAGGAGCCTTAGTTAAGAGCAGTTATCTGGAGTGACAGAAAACTAGAAGCTTATGCAAAAGAGGTTATGCAATAAAGGACTGCCATCTTTTATTTCTGGGTTTGCAGATGGACAGGCAGATTATTCCATCTTCTCTGAGTTACTTCATTGAGATTAACCAGAAAAATCTGGAGTTAGATGCTACCTAGTACAAGTGAGGGGGATAGAACATTGCCCTAAATAATATGAAAATGAAATATTTTGGAATATGCACATCCGTGATTGGCTTCCTATCATATGTCAAGGACTTGATTAAATCCCGTGTTCCTGAATTTCCTCACTGATTGAGCATTTTTTTTCCACAGTTTGATTGCTTTAGAGTGTTATAAAAATACAGTTATCCTGGTTTTCTTATTCACTGGTTTCCTAAGAAAAAACAAGGTTTGTATAATAACTCTAAATACTAAATTTTGAACTTTTGAACTGATTGTTTTCAGTCAAAGTTAGTGGAGATTTGGCTAACAAGAGGTACTAAGTTCCAATTAGTATAAAACTTCAGGGCTGCACAGGAAGCCATGTTTTATTATTCTACATCTCATGAAAGTATTCTTCAGCTTTTTGTTATTATAAAGATTTTATTCTATTCCAAAACACTTCCTTTTAAACATCTTGATGTCACAGACATTTCTAAGTTCTTGGTGAACATTGGCTCTGCGATGAAGATCTGCCCAAAGTACACCCTGGGTTGAGATTTGATTCAGTCTGGGAGAAAACTCTGAAAATGTGATTTGCACTGTCTGTACTCTTAGGAAACATAGATTTCACATGTTGCATCATCCTCACGCTCTATTCCAAACAACAGTGGCTTTAATTTAGAGACATCTTTACTTCAAAGTCCTCTTCCTCCTAAGTGGAGTTGCTATAACACCAAATTTTAAAGTTGAACCCCAAGAGAGAATCTTTTTAAGAGATGGTTTTGATGATGTCTGGAAAAGGGTGTAGTCTGACTGAAACTCACGTATGGGAATTTGGGAAGGAGTTTTGGTAAGAGCTGGGACAGAGTTTAGATAGGTGAGAATGTGAAACCCACTGTAAAGGAAGGACTGGACATATCAAATGTACAAAGTAAGTAGGAAAAGTAGGACAGGAAGTCAGGATGTGAGAAGAATTAGGACTGGAATAGAAACAGGATAATGAAGGAGGCAATGGTGGGGAAACAGAAAAAGAGTGAAAGTGCCTACAATTGCTAGAGCAACTTTCCCACCGGAATGTAGAATTCCTTCAGAGTCTAGCAAAAAGGAGTAAGTCCACTTGCAAGGATATTTTCCTTCTCCCTCTGATACTTGTTAATCATGTTCCATAGCTCCTGCAGTTACTTGTTTATCTCTAGTGCTGTAATTCTGAGTTTTGATTTGTCTTTCAAGTCTACTGATGACTTGCAGAGTTTCAGATAATAGGATATTTGCTTTTATAAATTTTTTCAGATAGCATTCACAATTCTTGAAATGACATTAAGGTTGCAAAATTGAAAGCTTGGAAGTTGGCAGATGCCGAAGTTAAGGTATCCTGGGCAACTTTAATTTAATCCCTTGTGCATATATGTTATCATCTGGTTTCTAGTTACATGACTGCATACTGTTTTTTTTCATACGACCCCAGTGCTGTTCAGTGGATGGGATGGATGATGCACAGGGAGTGAATCAGGGCTGTGTAATGATTGGCACCTGCTTCACTTATTGGAGAAATTGGAAGGCATTTAGGTAGTGAGATCGAGACTGCAGAAACAGGGCTCTGAAGTTTGGGAGGTGTTTGTCTATCCACCCTACCTTTTCCGCTGCAGAAGTACTGAGTTTATTCCTGTAAAGAAGTTGATTGAGCTGAATTGTGAACATCTACCGTACTCTAAGAAAATATGCTGCTATATTGAACTTGACACCTCAAGCTGGTGGGTGTTTGACAATTTTGGCCTTAATCTCTTTCTACATCATATTTGGATGTATGAAATGATTGTACTAGTTCAAGTTCACTACACAGGAGTGTTGCAAGATGATAAATTCATTAATGTTTGTGAACTGCTTAGACACTGTGAGTGTTGTGAGTGCCCATGATGAAGAAAAAAAAAAAAACCCTGGGGAAACGAATAATTCTGTATTTAAGCTAGTACTTAAATAATATGTAACTAGTAAGACAAGAAAAGCACACTAAATCACTATGAAAAAGCTGAATAGCATTTCACTCAATGAATGCTATCCCTCCTGTGCACTGAATGGGGTAGGAAGAGGTAGTACACAGCTTCACATATGCAGACTTCATCCTAATTTCATCTTTTGTGTAGCCTTAGTTTTGTCATTTCTTGTGTTTTCTGTTTTCTGGATGCAAAGGGGAGTTGAGGGGTTCTTTCTCGTTTTTGTTGTTGGTTTTTGTTGTGTTTTTTTGACTCTCAGTACAGAATCAGACTATGTTGCAGTCTTCAAAGGATTTCTATTTGTACCAGTCCTGTGAAGTAGGAAGCCACTATTATCTTTACCTTACTTGCCAGGGTGGAAGGTAGGAAAGGAAGAGGATAATGTATTAGATATGTAAATTAAAACCTTATAGCCTCAAGCTTCTAGAGTAAATGGGGGATAAGCAAGCGGAGAGAGCGAGAGTGAGATGTACCTCAAAGAATTACTCTGATCCCAAACAGACCGTATTAAGCTTCTCGTTAGGGTGTTTGCAAGTTAGGTGGAAAGTTCACCTTCCTCTCAGTTACATCTGGAGATTTCACCCTCCTCTCAATTACATCTGGAATTACATTGGGATGTAACTACTACTGTCTGGATCTATAGAGGAACAGTGCTTCTGAGTACCACTTCAGGTACGTAACTCTAAAACACACATTCTTAAAATAACTAGTAAGTGTATGTTTTACTTACCCTTGAAATACTTGACGTTCCTCCTGGAAGTACTGCTGAACTGAAAGTCCAGTTTCTCAGTGGATGAAAGTGTCTCCTGCTGCAACCGTTGCATTCTGCATGGTTACTGAGGAATGCGGTTTCCAATCTTTATAAAGCTAAAATGTACTATGAAAATACTTAAATATTAATTGATTTGAAGACTCCATATCCTTTCGAAGGATATATCCTTTTTGAAGTCATATCCTTTCGCTCAGTGATGATGGTTATTGGCCAGTGCAGCAAGAAAGGCTTCTTACCATGACATGTTAGGGCATAGTGCCAGACTGTCACAGCTGCAAAGCATCCAGATAGAATTTGGCTCGTATCCAATCAGTTTAGAGCACACATGAAGCAAACATGCAGATGCCTATATGAAGCTGTGTAGAATAAATACGCTTAGTTACTCATTCACAGTAGTCTTGCGGATTTCATTGAATCCCTAACTTTCCCCTCACTTTGAACTTTGGAGTCTGCTAAGGAATTTTGTCACCAATTAGGTGAGGTGCTTAAAATTACGTATGCTACACCACCTACGCACAGTAAGCTAACCATGAGTTGAACCTTCGTTTCCTTCAGTCTAGGCTAAAGGTGCAATTAAGCAACTTCAAATGATTGACTTAGGAATCTTAAAGTTATTCTAAGGGAATTTTGGTGTGATTTCATGTCATTTGTGTCACATTTATGTACTGTATCATGCAAAGTTACAAAATACCTGTACTGATTATTGTGGAGGGGAAGACTATAGTATGCTTGGAGAAGGTGTGGGGATGAAATACCAAATACAAAAAAATATTCTGGATACAGAAATATATTCTCAAATGCAGAAATACATTTTGTTATAATAAGCACAGGCTGAGCACTTCTTAGGGTTACATGGAGTTGGACAGGCAATTAAAGACACAGGACAGTTACCAAGACTGTATAATGGCGGAGAGCCATGGGTGTTTCTTTGCCTTGCACCGCAATTGCTGGATGCCTTGAGCCATCAAACAAGGGGACCTGAAGAAGAGCTGTCTAGAACTGAATCATTAGATGAAGGTGAATGTAGAGCCTGAGAACTGTGGAACTGGTTGCAGGAAGGCAAAAGGAGGAATACAGAAAACTTCTTCCTTGGAGTCTGGGGAGCTGGGTGTTTTGGGCTGATAGATGAATGCCACTGGAACTGTTACAGGTACAGTGAGTTTTCTGTGGTGGCCTAACCATCTGCAGAGGCTGAGAAACTAGAAAAGAAGGGGGGCAATCTAAACACATTTTGCTAAATGCCTTTGAGATTGGCTGAATGTTCAAAACTTATGAATATTGAGCTTTTGTGTAGGTGGCATAGTACTAAGTTAAATGCCTGACATTACAGTTAATTTTGCTTTTTAATCTTGGCTTGAGGGAAGGCCATGGAAGAGTGTGAACCTGGCAGTTCAAATGTAGCAAAGGTTACCAAAAATGGACATTTCAGCTGAGGTAGGAGATGTAAAAAAAGGCAATGTTTATCCTGGTCCAAAGAAGAGATCTTCTTTTGGACCATTTGAAAAAGGAAAATTAAGTCAAAAGTATTCTTGCCAAGAGTAATAATGATGGAAGAGCTTAAGATGTCAGGTCAGATGTCAGAGAATTTTTTGTGTGAAATTTATAAACAAGCTGGATAAAACAGGCAGGTAAACTTTCTGTGAGGCTAAGGATTGAGGGGTGGCAATAAACCCAAAAAAATTAGATAGATAAGCAGAATCTCTTCTGACACCATATCCATAGGCTCATATGAGTCTACTGCTACCACAGCAGGGTCAAAAGCTTTCTGGACTCTCTACTTCTACTGCCATTGAACTTGTTCTGAAGTCAAAATGTACATTGTCATGACAGATAACTAGTATGTAAAAGTGATAGTTTTTTCTTCTGAGACAAAATGACTAATGAAGGTCTATATTGAGACTTCTTAGAAGCATTTTCTAGGACTTAATTTTTATTATAAACATAATTTATATATAA